CGAAAGTCGTGCATCGTGGAATTCGCCGAGAAGACGAGTCCATAAGATACGATCTTGGAGCACAACTAACAAGTCCTTTCCTCTCGTGTGAAGGAGAAGGAACCCGTCGGAAATCCGATAATGGCTAGCCGGCGGGTGATCCGATGAAAGCTCTGCGTAAAGCATAAAGTAAGTCGGATCGGACTTGTAGCCTTTGACGAAATGCTGCTGCAGATCGTCATCGAGGTCGAATGCCGTGGTCACAATGACACAAAAGTCGGGCCGTCGTGAGAAGGCGTCCGCAACTCGATTGGCGGGACCGGGAATGTGACACAGGTCAAAATCGAACAGGTCGATGTAATACATTCATCGACCGATCGTACTAGTGACCGTGTCCTACGTTTTGTAAAATGTCAACGGATTGTTATCCGTATTCCATTTAAAACGCCGACGGCCGAGAAGAAAGTGGCGCCACCGTTTRAGGACGGTRACGAACGCGAGTAGCTCTTTCTTCCTAGCGTCATCAAGAGTGTTGACGAGAGGCACCTTCTGGGAGAAATACTCAACCGGATGCCAACCGTCCTTGTGACACTGTTCCAACACCGCTCCAATACCGTATCGCGAAGCGTCCGTAGTCACTTGGGTGGGTAGGGTGGGGTCATATATACGGAGGGCAGGTGCGGCTTGCATCGCTGCCTTCAACGTAGTGAACGCGCCDCGGGCTGCGTCGTCGAACTCGAAGGGCACCTTCGGGGACTGAAGTCTCGACAAAGGATCGGCCACTTTCGAGTATGACTGGACGAATCGCTGATAATATCCAGCCAAACCCATGAAAGAGCGTACATCCGTAGTGCAACGGGGTTTCGGCCAATCCACGATGGCTTAGATCTTGTCCGCTAAGGGACGAATGCCTTTCGRCGTGACAAAATGGCCCAAGTACTCAAGCTCTTGCCTGGCGAATTCGCACTTGTCGAGATTCGCTTTGTACTTGGCTAGTCGCAAACGATTCAAAACAACGCGAAGGTGTACGATGTGCTCGTCCAACGTCCTACTATAAACCAARATATCATCAAGGTAGATGAGGACGTTGCGATCGAGCAAGTCGCGAAACTCAGTCGTCATCGCTGCTTGAAACGTTGCGGGGGCATTGGTGAGGCCAAATGGCATGACCACCCACTCAAAATGCCCATACCGCGTCTTGAACGCGGTCTACCAGTCTTGAGGCTGGATTTCAATATGGTGGTAACCTGACTTCAGATCCAACTTCGAGAAGTACGTCGCGCCGCCTAACCGCTCAAAGAGATCATCAATCCGAGGGAGAGGGCCGACGTTCTTTACGGTTTGTGCGTTAAGTTTTCGATAGTCAATGCATAACCGTAGATCTTTGTTCTTTTTCCGGACGAAGAGAACAGGTGCACTGTATGGCGAGCAACTAGGGCAAATCTAGCCCTTATCGAGAAGGTCATCGAGTTGTGCGCGAAGCACTTCGAGTTCCTCTTCGCTCATGCGGTAGATACATCCACGCGGAGGGACGGCGCCCGCCTCGAGAGTGATCCCGTGACGTATGGGCCGATCCGGAACCGTTCCGGTGGGAGACTTGAAAACGTCTCTATACTCGTCCAAGAGGTGAGAAATGCGTAGGTCCGGCGGTGACGCGGCTGGTCCGTCCGGCGAGGGGAGAGCATGCAAGAATACAAGGTCCATCTCCTCGACGTCATTCCGAGCAATGGCGTCGCGAATTCTCGCAACGGAAACCACGTGACAAGCAATCGAAGTGTGAGGGGTCGCGACCGTACATGGGACTAACAGTCCGTTCCGATCACGGGTGTGAACGGTTCGGTCATGGAAGTTCACCGGATGATCGGCGCTACGCAACCAAGACATGCCTAGAATCATGTCGAACTTGGTGTCGAGGATGTTAAAAGACACCGGCTCGCACGCAAGTGGCGCAAAGTAGACTGGAACGCCATCAGCGCATCGGTCAATTGACTTTTGCGTGCGGCCGTCCGCGAGTGTAACTTGCGTAGGTTGCGTCTTTCTTCGAACGYGCGGGCCAAGACCTGCGCGGGCCATAAAGGCTTGACTCATGAAGTTGCGAGACGCTCCGCAATCAATCAAGGCACTACAGGTTGCCTTTCCAATTTGAATGCGGATATAGAGCAAAGGTGCGTCGGTTTCGGCGTACCTTTGGGTGACGTGCTCGCGGTCGATCTTCGCAAGATAGGAGCGGAGATCGGCAACGGAGCGGAGATCGGCAACGGAGCTGGTACTGTAGTGTGCAAGTAGAAACGTAGATTTGCCATCAAGGCGTTGCAATGCGACCTTGGCAAGGTTCCGGTCGAGGGTAGAGGCATCAAGGCGAAGTCCTCTCTCGTGAGCGGGTCAAGCTCCTCAAGTCTTGACCACGTCGTCGAGTCCTCGGAAGTCAGTGGCGAACTGACAGGATCACTTGCCGACGGTGTACAGGCTGCGCATACGCAATCTACATGCACGTGGCTAGGCTGGTCTAATGGTGGTACCARCTGGGCGGCATAATCCTCGTAAGTAGCATGAGAATCAGCGACTAACGCATGCTCCCYGGTAGTGACATCGATTGCTAGCAAGGCAACCGGGTCCGGCGGAGTGAGGAGAGACGTCGCCCCTCTCCTTGCGTAACTCAGTTTCCCAAGTTGGTTGGACGGGGTACGCGTGCCTTGTCCTTGTCTGGGCATTGTGTGGTAGTGTGTACTACACTGTTGCACCATAGGCAGTATGCGTACTTCTGACGAAGGTCATAGACCTCCTTGGTGATCTTATAAGTTGTCCATGGCTGCTGCCCAACTCCCGTCGCCGCTGTCCCTTGTGTCGCCTTGTTCTTACGAACTCTCTTCGGATGCTTCGGCGGGAGCGCTGCGACAATTCCTCCATCACTCGAGGATGCTGCTGCAGCGTGGTGGTCGTCGATTTCCTCAGAAAAYACGGCATTGTTATGTGCCGGACGTTGATAGGTCTGCTTAGCCACATAGTGCGGCTGGGATTTTCTCTCGTTAGCGGTCTTGTCGTCTGTGTGGATGACCAAGTTCGCTCAATCCAGAATGGCCTGGAATGTGGTATAGTCGTACTCATTACCGAGTGCCGACCGCAATCCCGCGCACGATCGCGAGAAAAACTCGGATCCTTGATTTGAAAACGTCAAGTCGAAACCTGATGTGGCCACTATCTTTTGCCACTTCGTTGTCCAGTCTCGAGTTGGCATGTTCCCTTGAGAGCATGTGTACACCTCATTCATGGCCGCCTTCACGACGTTGCGGATCATGAACCGGGTGAACCATAGCTTCTCGAACTCCTTCCACGTAATGTGCGTGTGGAGATCGGCGATAGTGCACTTGTGTGTAGCCGCTAGGTGGTTCATCCATCCCTGCGCTCCTCCAATCAGCTGCAGATATACTGCCTTCAACATGTCGTCCGCCGGGACCATGCGGCATGATGCTTCCGTGAGGAAGCGTTGCCACCATGACAAGGCGTCCGACTTGTTGTAATCGTCGAACTTGCGGCATCTTGAACGTCTTTGTAGCGGCTTCCGGTCTCGTTTGTAGCTTGGTGATGTCCGTCTTGATGGCGGCCACCGTGCTGCTGATCGAGTCTGGTCCGTTGAAAGTACTTATGTCGCCGATGATGGTGACGACGTGATCGATGCGCTCGTTGAGTTGCTTCGTCACGTCTATCGTGCAGCCTGGCGCTGCTGAGGCGTTAGCCTCTATGCTGTTGACGCGTGTGATAGTGGAATTCAACAGCTGATGTTGTTGCTGCTGCTGCGTTGCCTCTGTGCGGATAGCAGTTGTTAACGTAGTCATATCGTTCTTGTATGTTTGTCGCTGCGTCGCGTCCGTGCGCAGATGTGAATGCAGCAGTGTATTATTCCACATAATACYTCTCATCATGCCCAGCAGCAAGTTAGCCAGGTTACTTCTCTCTGCCTCCGCCGGTGTCGGGTCTGCCTGCGCTTCCGTAGGCACAAACATCATGTCTTGGAGTATCGTCGTCCACTGATGCTCACAAGCAATCAAGGACTCCGTGCTGCTGGCATTCCGTCTGTCTCGTGTCSCTGCGTCAGTCTCAGTCGTTCGCTGAGCTTCGGCTGCCACTTCATTGGCTAGCCGCTGACGTTCTGCCTCAGCTGTCTCCTTCCGGGCCTCGACGGCAGCTACGGCTTCCGTAAATGCCAGTAGCCGCCCACGATAATCAGCCGCTGGCTCATTGGCTCCTCGGACTGGGTATGCGGGATGATCTTCGGTGGCGTCTTGTACCGTTAATGCCGTACTTGATGCTGCTGGAGTCGTCCGCCTGCTGAGTTTCTTCGGTCTTGGAGGTACTGCAGGGCGGGCACGAACTGCGATTCTGGCACTACGTCGTGGCAGTGCCCCGGTGTCCTGTTCCATCGACATCAGTCTGAACCGATGCGGTACTTGAGAAGTCCCGGTAATCACAGAACACGGGGGGTAGGGAGAGTGGGAACAGGGGTAGAACAATCAAGCAATATATAGACAATCCCCTGTCCCACTAATGGACTGTAGACACCTAATCAAACAGGAAAAAAAAAAAAAAATTCCGTAAACCCTTCAAAAAATTCGTAATAAGGAATTTATAACGATTTAATCAATAACATTCATTAATGATAATTAACAAAATAAATCCGAATGATAATCAGTAAACAATGTTTCTAATAAAGATAACCAATTACTAAACGAATTTAAAAGGTATTATGATTAGGTCTCTTTGAGATCACTATGAGACCGGGAGTTCTCCGTTTAATCAGTGAACTGCCAGGTAGTTGCAATTTAAGGTCAGATACGGCTTAGTGTGCTAAAAAAAAATTCGGAAAATTTCAGAAGAAAAAACGCTCGATTTTTCAAAAATGCGAATTTTTGGGAATTTCCACCGTCAAAATCCGATTTTTAAAAGCCTAAACCTATTTTCGGAATTTCTCAAACAAGGAGAACGAAAAAAAAAATTCGCGAACATTTCGGTCCCAACCCTAATTTCCGCGTTTCGGCGAAATTTCCGGATTTACGGTCCCAAAACGTTCGGGTTTCCCCAAGTTGATCTAAAACCAAAAGATTTTCATAACCCTAATTCCCATACTGAAAGACAACGAAAATCTCAACAGAAAACGAAATATAGGATTTACAACAGAATGTCGAAAACGGAATGCTGAATGAACATCAGAAAAACCCGAATTTCAAACATGATACTGATTCAACCCTAATTACGAATACTTAATCAGAAATCTGAATCAAACAGAATGTTGGATTAATATCAATCTCTCGGATCTCATTGAACAGCATACCGTGTACAACAAAAATCCGAATAAAGTCCGAATACTGAATTGAAACGGAAATGTCGAAATAGCGAGAATACCGAAAAAAGAAAATTTGCAACTTTGAAATTGATAATACTTCAGCGCCGATTTAGAAGATCAAACGTGATAACCTAATTCTAAACGGTCTTACCTGGTGAGCTGATCCGTTTTGGTCTGCTCCGATACCAAAACTGATACATACTTCAATGAGTATGGGCAGAACCAAAGATCAACCAATATAGGATGAGCATTTATGCAGCGGAAGTCTGATAACGAACTGACTCACATAGACTGACCTACATGGCATCACTCCACACACATACAATAATGAGATGGTGGGGTCTAGGTCATTCATAGACGATACCCAGATCCCGTACACACATACACAGATGAAAGGTGGGAGGAGTGACGAAGGAGGTAGGAGGTAGATCACACCGATAGGTCACAAGATAGAGTCTGGTAGGTCTCCGAAATGGTAGTCCAGAATGTCATATAACAAGATCAAAATGTCGAGGACCAAAGGTCACCAATGTCGGAGATAACAGAGTCCAGATGTAACCGGTGTCCAACTGTGATGCAGCCGAGTATCAACCTCAACAATCTCCAAGTCTCCAATCAGGTAAGTACCACAGTCTCGTATCACCGAAGTCCAACTCTGATCTCTGTCCAACTGGATAGTCTCCAATCTGAAGAAGAAGAAGAAGAAGAAGAAGAAGAAGAAGAAGAAGAAGAGGAAGAAGAGGAGAGAGAGAGAGAGGGGACTGGCGAGGGAGAGGAGGAGAGACCCTCCAAGCTCCCGGTACCTCAGAAGGATCTGCACGAAGTGTGCAGATTTCTTTTTTTTTATCTTTTTTTTTTTTTTTTTTTTTTTTTTAAATGGAAAACTTGCAAAAATTTTATTGCAAAAGATAATATCTGGACGAGGCCGGGGACCTCACAATTCATCCCAGAGTTATCTTGGCACCCTTTAAGTTAGCCAGTTTCACTTACGAGCCCAGCTCGAACACCAAAACTAATTGCACCAGAAGGAGACTCTTCAGCTATGCTGGAAACGAGGTCCAGCGTCCTGTCCTTAAATGCTTTCCCAAAAAAAAACGGAAAGAAAAGGGAAAGAAATTAAGCTTGAAGTACGAGAAAAAAAGGGGGATGAGCTATCCATACTGACAAACTCTCTGCCACACCGAGTTCTCCAAGATACTACCCACTGTTTGCAATACTAGCCCCCCAATAGAACTTATATAAAGCTGGCAAACATTGTCCACCCTGTGTCGCTGTCTTTCTGTAGGTTTTGTTCTGGACTATGAACTCCCGGAGGCTGAGTATCAGCTCCACTGAGCAGGATCCTCCTACTCATTATTTCAAATATTATTTTCAATCCGTCGAACTTTTGGTAACGTTTAGCCTAGACCGCCCTAAAACGGCCTATAAAATGGCTCAAAGAAACCTCGAGGCTGTCATGAAACGCCACTACCCCTAAAGATCCTGTAGCAACCACTGAGAGCAGAAGTTTCCTTTTTTGCCCACGTCTTTGAAAACCAGAGGAATCCCTTTGTTCTCAAGTCGGCTAACACCACTAATCTAATATCAGATTTTATCCGATTGAAAGAATGTTGAGCAGTAATTGTTTCCCTACGGAAAACTTTGACATTTCTAGTGGTCCAAATTGCTTAAAGGATAATTCCTCTGCAAATCAAGGACACGTACCCTTGTCCACTCGTGAAATTACAGTTCCCCGAAGAGTTGGCATGTAGAATGCAGTCCTCCCCCCATTCTTCTGAGGAGTCTGAGAAGATCTTCCACTTTTCCTTCCACCACTCCCATATACCTTTGGAGGGCAGGCAGTGAGGCCAAAGGTGGGACGCATTTTCCCAGCCCATTCGCAACGGGCACAGGTGGTAGGTATATCCGTCCCTTTAGAATTTAGCCATGTAGAGGATATTGTAATTTGCAACGATTGTAGCCATTGCAGCGATGCCTGCTTCTGCGATCAGACCTTTTTTAAGGCCTTCCACAGCTTAAACAAATCTTTTCTTTTTAATCCCAAGTTTTGTCTCTGCAACGGCCTTCTCTCTGCCATCACTATTGGCTTCTTAATGACTTTCTGCTGTTGGATCAGAACGCCTGTTTTTGGTTTGTACTTAAAAATAGGGGTTTTCGGACTGGGTAAACTGTCTGCTTTCCACCCATCTATGGCCGGCTCCACTGTAATACTTTCGGTTTTCAGTTTAAGCGACGAACAGTCCGTCCAATTGAGACCTTGTTTTTCCCAAACCCGCACCTCTTCCAGTCCCACTGTGGTTTTGATGACCGTTTCCTCCTCAAAGCGTAAACTTGACGAATTTACTCCTCTTAATCTCCACTTCGATACCTTGATTCCAGCTGCTAGATCCGGGCACTACTTTCAGATAACGGTCCTGCTGCAAAGGGTCCTTCAACCAAGAACCAGGATTAAATTCTCTATCCTTTCTCAAAGAACTTATCCAATGCCCAGTTTCATAAAGTTATGTTCTACTTTATGAACTCTTGGAAGTCTGAATCTAATTCTTGCCACAGGACTCCAATCATCCAACTGTAAATCCCAAACATCCTTCAACTGTAGTATGTCGTGTTCTACCCAGGTTCTCCCAAAAGAATCCGTGCTACCATCCGCCGGAAGCTCAGACCCTCGGTACTTAATAAACTCATTTGCCCACAGTATCTGATTAAGTAATTCCCCTTTGGATGAAGGTTCACCCAACTGCGATGGGCATACTCTATTCCAGGTCTGTATTATATTTCCCCATAGTCTAGATTTGGGTTTTGTGAGGCTATAGGACTTAATCATAAGGCACAATCAAACATGAGACCCATCGCTTAGGTTCCATTCTTGCTGAAGGATGTATTGTGACAAACTATTTTCTGTAACCGCGCGACTTTCTGCACGAGGCTGCTTGGGGAAATACGACGGGTGAACTGTGGGAAGATGGGTCGGACGGGCAAGTTGAATGAATGTCCTCGTTTCGTTTCGTTTTTCTGCTAGAAGTTGTCCGGTCAGTGCCGGGAAAATCCCGTGCCAACGGTTGAGTAGCGCGCCTTAGCAAGTGCGAGAAATAATTGTGCCATAGCTTCCTTCTTGTTCTGCTGTGAGCACTGGGAATTTTGGCGCAATCATTGCGCGGGAATATCGTTTTTGAATTTTCAACTGATGTCGAGCCCCCATGGGCTCGCGGAATTGTTTTTCTTTTCTGCTTTTTCAGAATTTCCCTTTGCAATTAGGACTTAGGATAGGAATTTAGGTACTCTGAATTTTGCTGCGTTGCGCCTGCGCGCATCTTGCTGCGCTGAGAACTGGGCTCTGACTGGATCGCGCCCTCAAATCTTGCGTAACTGTCGTTTTGACGGGCGCGATTATAACTGTATCTTTCTTCTTTCTTGGTTCCCTTGTGTTTGCCCGCCTTCTCCTTATTCCTCGCCTCGCATGCTCCGTTCTAATTGGCATGAATGCCTGCATGACTAGATCGATGCGTGAAGTGTGGCTACGACCCCCACGCCACGGCCTGGCCATGCAGACGTAGGCACTTCCTCTCTTCTCTTCTTGTCCATCTGGGCTTAATCCCATACCTTTCGCACAAGCATGCATGCTATAAATTTTGCAAGCACGATTAGTTTGCTCTCTAAGAATTTCGAGGTTAGCGCGATCAGTGAGGGTCGGCTAACGAGCAAGTTTGAAAGGTGAGTGTGTGTGAGAGTTGGGCGATCCGACGAGCTGGTGTCGGGTATGCGGGGTTGACGTGCGGGGCCACGACGGACTGTGGTGCACAGGCGAATTTGGCTTGCATGCTCGAACCAAGCGGGGTGACAACTCTGTGTTGATGCGCGGCGACGGACTGCCCGTATCGGGAGCGCAGAGAGAGAGTGAGAGAGAGAGAGAGAGAGAGAGAGAGAGAGAGAGAGAGAGA